AGAGGACCCTGCTTGAGCAGGGGGGTTGGACTAGATGATCTCCAGAGGTCCCTTCCAACCTCCACTGTTTTGTGATTCTGTTTTAAAAACTTGTAGGAAAGTCTGTAAAATTGATTTATAAATAAGTGGTGGCAGAGGGATTGTGTAATCCAGTGAAGATATGGGAATAGAGGATGACAATGACCATGGGAGGGAGATAAAGGGAGGAAAGGAGTATGATATTCAAATAGTAAAAATATTAATGATGGGTGGAGGTCAGGAATACTGGATTTTATGGCATACTAATGTTGGAGGGAAGTTATTTAAAGATAGCTGTGCGTGGCAGAAGTGTCCATCTTGCTACCTAGCTTTTTGCTTTTTTTAAGTCCGGTATGGAAGATGATACAAAAATGTTTCCTTTTGTAATACCCTATTCTTAAGGAATTTCGAAGAATATTTGGAGGTTTAGTTTTTACATTATCTTGTTTTAGGGAACTAAAGAGTTCTTCTGTTTCATAGCTGACCAGATACAGTGCTGATGTTTTAATTTTGAAGTCTTGATGGTGCTTTAATGTATTTCAGTGGTTTAATGAAAGCGTTCTTTCCTAATATAAACTGTGTAAAGCTTGTGTTTCTCAACCTTTTTAAAATAGCCTTTCTTTCAAAGAGTGGAAGCCGTTTATGTGACAGATACAGGTTGCATTTAGAATAGCACTTTAGTTTGGCTTCGGAGCTTACTCTTGATCCAGTCTCGTGGTTGTTCCTGCTTACTGTGCTTTCGTTTACATCACAGCGTGGTTTCGGAGTGCACAAACTGGTTTCCGTTTTGATGAAACTAAACTGAAAGATGTAATCCAAATGCTGATGAGCATTCAGTCCATTGGGCTAGACCAGAGCTAGTCTGAAATACTGTCCTGTCTCCCTTCTTCCCCCAAAATGTGTGTAGTGTTAATGCGAGGTCTTACATGCTGAGTTTTGATGTATAGATTGACTTCTGTTTCACCACCCTATTGGCTTAGTGACATAGTCCTGATTGTTTAATTTCGTCTTCAGACACCCATGTGACTCATTTAATATGTAGTTTAGCCTTATTAAAAAAAAAAAAAAAGTATTCTTTCAACCTTCTCTAAAATACACTATTTAAATCACTAGTATATTTGGTTTATATTATGAACATGTATAAGGGGTTAGGTATCTTATTTTATTATCTGGCAGTAGCACCTTGTTTCAGCTTATTTTTTAGCAGCTGAAGCTAAAGCTCTCTCTTAGTCCGGTGTCACCAGAGGTGTTCAGATCTCTTTCTCCCTTCAGATCTCTAGTGCAGTGGTTAAGCATTCTGTAATTGGATTACTTGCCGGCTCCTGCCCTGCAACGCTTTCTTTGTTATACCAACGGTGGTGCTGTGTAGTACCGCAAAGAACTGGCTTGACAAACTGATCCAGCTGAATATTTTTCCTTCTGGCTGTTTTTCAGCCTGATATGTTTCTTGATCCCGTTTACTACTCACCCCTGCAAACTCTTTTGCGGGCACGACGGAAGGAATGGAGCAGGATAGTCAGGTGAGGCACGGACTTACTGAAGTGCATGTTGCTGCTGGAATCATTTTTAAGGGAGTGGGTGAAGAAAGCATGCAGTTACTGGTACAGTGTTCGGGGATTCGTGAGGTAAAAGATGTGACCATCTTAATCAGACTCTAAGTAGAAGATATGTGCAATTCTCTTTGTAAGTCCCAGCATTGTATTCACTGAAATGACTTTTGAATCAGACATCTTTGTACATGTTTTTCTTGACCTTTCCTAGGGAAAGTTGGTTTGCTCATTTGTTTTCCTCCTGAGTTTTTTCATAGCAGCTTCTGCCTCACTGACTTGAAATGTTTAGTTTTTGTTTAGGTCTACTATGAGATGACCTAATTTTGCGTCATATGACTCCTGATTATGCTTTTCTTTTGCCCTCTTTCCTTGCTACTTGCACGTATTTAAGGATCGTTCAGGCTCCTAATGCCTTGGCCATTTTACATCTAGAAAAAATGTGATCCTTAGGTAGCAAACTGTCTTCCATAAAGTTCAGTAACAATTTAAATAATTCCAAAGATGTGTAGCTTCTCTGTTGCTATGTGAAATACCGTATTTAATGATCCACTTTGTAAACACTCCACCCAAACCCCCTAAAACCTACAACCCAAGCATTGTAGCTAGATAGAAACTTTAGCAGGGCAACAACAGTAGTGACTAGTTACCCGTTTGAGTCCTTTTAATACATCTGCTCTTGAAGACTCACATAGGATATGTGAAATAGTCCCATACTATTCATATCAGCCACCTTCAGATCATAACTAATACTATCTTTTGGGGTGCTGCAGATATGAACAGATACCAAATACCAAAGTCTCAAAGTACAGCATGAGAATGGTTGCTTACCCCTTGATGTTACTCCTGTGTGTTGGGAGCAAGGTCACTGATGGAGTTGTATGCGGGGGGAAAACATGCATGGGAGACTTCCAAGTTCTTCTTTTGTAGACAAGTAGTGATTTTGGTTGTCATTGTTACCGCTTAACACTCTTTACATTTTAGAAGGTTTGTTTAAAAAAAATAAAATAAAAGTATATAAGGTGTGTTGTCCAGCAGTTGGAGTTGACAAAAAACGTTATGGCTTATAGGAATTGTCTGTGCCATGCCTTCAGCATTTCAACATGGCATTTGTAGTCAAGATATGAATGCTGCCTTAGTCATGAACTGCTCCAAGAATCAGGGTCATTTTTAGCATGACATCAGAAGTTTCAGGGTTTTCATCGTCACTGAAAGCTATCCTTGGCTGCCCTGAAATGCTGCTCAGATCTCTGCAGTGGTGCATTCAGCCTTTACTGGAAACGTGTTACCTCTTCTAGTCTTAACTAAATACAGTTTTATTCCAGTGTTCATACATCAGGGCAATTTTAAACCATGAGGCTGGAAATCTTCATATATACGTTTATAGTCAAGGCTGGAAAGAGAAACTTTCTGGGTTAGGAGAAATGACACACAAGGTGCACCAGATGGTTGTGCTGCTGTTTGGAGGGACCTTGACAGGCTGGAGAAATGGGCTAACAGGAATCTTGTGAAGTTCAGCAAAGGTAAATGCGTGGAGTTATTCCTCCCTTGTTGCAGGACTTTGCACTGGTACAGGCTGGAGGCTGACCAGCTGGAGAGCAGCTTTGCAGAGAAAGACCTGGGGATGCTGGTGGACACCAAGCTGACCATGAGCCAGCAATGTGCCCTTGTCGCAAAGGCCGCCACCAGCATCCTGGGCCACGTTGGGCAGAGCATTGCCAGCAGGTTAAGGGAGGTGATCCTTCCTCTCTACGCAGCACCGGTGGGGGAGAGCACCTCTGCACTACTGTGTCCAGTGCTGGGCTCCCCAGTACAAGCAAGACATGGACGTATTGGAGCAAGTCCAGCAAAGGGCTGTGAAGGTGATTAAGGGCTTGGAGCATCTGACATACAAGAAGAGACTGAGAGAGCTGGGACTGTTTAGCCTCGGGAAGAAAAGGTTCAGGAGGGGTCTTATTCGTGTGTCTACCTGATGGGGCGGTAAGGAAGACAGAGCCAGATTCTTCTCAGTGGTGCCCAGTGACAGGGCAAGAGGCAATGGGCACTAACTGAAATACAGGGTAATTGAACACTGGAACAGGTTATTCCAGGTTGTGGAGTCTCCGTCCTTGGAGATACTCAGTACCTAACTGGACACAATTCTCAGCAGCTTTAAGTGGTGAGGGTGGGCTATATGACCTCTTGAGGTGCCTCCCAAGCTCAGATGTTCTGTGATTCTGTCACATGGTCAGATGAGGCTGTTCCTTCAGTTTTGCCTTTTGACTGTTGGTTTTTCTTCACTGCAGGTGGCTTAGCTGTTGAACACAGATAGCTAAGAAGTTTGTAGTGAATCATGCTCTCGTTTCCAAAAGCAGCCCTTCTGGAGGGGATGAGGACTGTTCTTTTTCCTTTCTATTTCCAGAGGTCTGTTTTTGGTAGGTTGAGGTGTGTGCTTTTTGTTTTTTGTTTTTTTATTTTTATTTTATTTTTTTTTAGGGTGAGTGGGAGAGTTCTGTGTTATTCCAGTCTTTTAGTGTTCTTATCTATCTTATGCTACATACTGAATGCCAGTACTTATCTCTGTTGACCAAATATTTCCAAACAGCAGCAGAATCTTGATTTTTTTTATTTTATTTTTTTAAATCTTGCTGCTGTTTATTATATTCAAAATGCACAGAGTAAAAATTTCTGTGGCTGATCCGTTTTGTTCAGCTGTAGCTTGGCAGAGCTATTAGAATGAGCAGACTTGAGAACTTGATTTTTTTTTTCTGTTGGTTTTTGGAAGATGAGAAAGAGTACATGCTAGTGGGTTACGTTTGTTTTATCATTGGCAAATTCTTTTTGAAATGGGTAATGTAAAATAATTAAACCCTTCAAAATGGTAACAGATTTTCGTGAAGCTAATGGCATCTTTCAGAGAGCTTAATTTCTCCCTACGTGCAAGAGTTTAAACACCTATCTTTCCTACTGTAGAAAATGTGTAAATCAAACTAATGGTTCTCAAACCCTCATGCATAGCTGATCGTTAGTTCTTTGTGGTATATGGTCTGTTGATGGACACTTATCGAGAGATGAAATTCCAGATTTCTTGGATTTTTTTTTTTTTGGTACACACATTACTGTTTCTTTAATTAGTAGTTACAGTATTCCTCATTTTCTTTCTCCTAGAATAATCTCTGAGTATTTGTGCAGATGGAAAAAGACAAATGTAGCTCAACAAATTTAACTGATGAGAAGTGATTAAAGAAAACCACTTAGCAACTAGAAATGAGAGGCAAATTCCCTAAACTGGTAGATGGTAGATATAGGCTGATATAGTATCCCCATCAACTTTTTTTTACTATTAACTTTTTAATATGTGGTTTCAAATTATAGTGGTGTGTAGTATAAATCTGTGTAATGATGTAGCGATGCTGTTTCAATCTTTTTCTTTTTTTTCCCCTCCCTGCAGGTATCAAGCATGATGGGACTATGTGTGATACTTGTCGACAGCAACCGATCATTGGTATCCGATGGAAATGTGCTGAATGCACAAATTATGACTTGTGCACAGTTTGTTATCATGGAGACAAACATCACTTGAGGCATCGTTTTTATAGAATTACCACCCCAGGAAGTGAAAGGTAAAGTGTAGCTTTTCCCCTGTGAAATTAAATAGAAACAGTTCATTGTAGTTTAATTACTGCAGATTTGGTTACTGAAATTCAGGTGAGATAAGATAGTGGCTTCAGGTGTAGATTCTGTTACTAGTCTGCCTCTTTGTGAGGGAGGATAAATAGACTAAAATTTTGGAGCTTGGAAAATGCATTAAATGTGGAGATTTAGAAAGAATCAACGAGAGAAGAAAATTAGGATGTGATTATTCAGTTTCTTCTAACTTCATTATGTGCTTCCTAGTTCTTGTATTATCAGATAGCAGATTTAAAACAAAGGTAACTATCTTTACATAGTGCATGATCACAGCATTGCTTGTCAATGAATTCCTAAATGTGAAAGTTTAAACAGGTTCAAAAATGATGTAGACAGACTGATGGATAACTTACCCCTTGTAGGCTGTTAAGAGCATAACGATCTGGCAACAAAGCGTCTCAATCAAACTCCTTAAACTGTTGACTACAGAAGGCAGAGCAAAGATGCTGTGAAGAGTCGCTCTATCCTTGCCTTGTTTTTCATGTTATTTTCTTACGTGCATGTTATCTAAGTCTATTAGAGAGGAACTGTGAACAAAATGGGCCTTGAGGTGGTTCTTGCGTAGCTGTTCTTGTGTTCTTTGACATTGAATGACTTCTCTAAATCCAGAGTCCCTAGCTGTCATGGTTTACCCACCTGTAAAGTGAGAATAGTGGTATTTGCCCATTACTAAATACTTTGAGAGCATTATGTAAGGGGCTACATGTTGTGTTATCAATACTATGGTAACTCTCTGGAATGACATGAAGTCACTGGAAGCTTGTTCTTTCGACATGATACTCCTTTAAATGTGGCGTGTGTATGATAGAACGTGTATTTCCTCTTCTTGGAGAAGTGAGGTTTCCAAGTGTCGTAATTCAGTGATGTGCTTTTATCAGTGCTTTTGTAGTTGAGGTAAATTGTTGGAGCACAAAAACAGTTCTCATTGTCTCATAGGGGCTGTGTTTATTTTCTTAGACATTTGCCTTGAAGTCTGACTATGGCTAAAGGTTAATGGCCTGATCGAAAAATAGCTCCTCTTTTTGAGACTCGTGCTGGTAGGTCTAGTTGCCAAATAGATTTAATGCGCTTAGTATCTGAATTACAGTGTTGTAATGCAGAACAAAACTTAGATCTTGAATCCAAGAGTAGAAAGTGCTGGCGTAGTGTATTTAATAGAAAATAAGTAACAAAGACAAATCTGTTTTCCAATTTACTACCTTTCTAAAAATCTTATTTCCTTGAAGAATACCTTGTCAGTCTCTTCTTCATTTTCTCTTCAGCTGAAGGTTCCTTTATAGTTTTAAGCTGTCTATTTTGATTAGTTGTTTCAGGGAGGAGAAAGGGCAAAGCAGTGCAATGGAATTTGAGGGACAGCTCATTAGAAAAATGGCAAAATGCATCTAATGACATTTGGATGAAGGAAAGCATAAGCTCTACCTATTCTGTTTTTGATTCTGGGATATCATATGGGTTTTTGTATCAGTTTTGTAGATGATGAGATATTTCTGAAATGCTGCTCTAAACAAGATATCTCTTTGTGTTTTCTGTCACCCTTATGCGTTACTTAGATAAAACTTGCTAGTATTTTGATGTGCTCTCTTCATTGAGGCTAACAATTTGTTAACTTTTTCCTTGTCTGCCATCTGCTGGATGTTAAAAGTTGAGCAGGAGGGTGTTGCACTTCCTGAAGAGGTCAGGAAACGTTCAGAATTTCACTGAAAAATACTTTTGCCTGGCAACATTCTTGCAGCATGAAGTAAGAAATCTAGTTGCACGTAGACTGGTGGCTTTTAAGATGACCGCAAAGCCGGGAAAATGTTAATCTCTGTTCTCATTTGCAGTTAAATATTTGCAGTTAAATAAATTTGCAGTTAAATAAAGAACTATTCTGTTTGGGCACTTCAACTGTGCTAATCTGCTTTGGTTCTTTTGGAGTCTGAGTAAAATAAGAGGTTGTTTTAGGAAAATAGCATGTTATAAAAATGAGGCAGAGAAAGTGGGTGCTGATTATATTGAATGAAATGTGCCAAGATATGTCATGAAAAGTATGTAGAAAGTAAACCCTGTCACACCGTGGGGGAAAAGGTGAAGCTCTTTCACTTAATAGTGTAATTCTGAAAACAGCTAGAAATACAGTTATAAGAAATTAATCTTGGCCTAGGGATGCTTCTAAGAGAAGCAGGAATG